GGAATGGGAAACCATTCAAATGAATGTGACCATCATAACTGAACAGACACCATTAAGGAATAATAACTCGTTATATGTGTGGGCGTGAGAAAATGAAGCATTATTGAAAAAATTTCTAACCACCATTATTATAAATAATATTCATGTACATGTACATCTTCATTATTATTATTATTATTATTATTATTATTATTATTATTATTATTATTATTATTATTATTATTATTATTATTATTATTATATTATTATTATTATTATTATTATTATTATTATTATTATTATTATTATTATTATTATTATTATTATTATTATTATTATTATTTTATTTATTTATTTTTTTAATTTTTAAAGGATACATTCCATCTTTAACAATGGCGTCTCCCACCCATTTACTGATCATCACGGCCACCATTATCGGTACTATGTAGCTCAGGCCTCCTGTCAGTTCAAACATAATGACCACTAGAGATACTGTCATTCTAGTGACTCCGCCCAGAGCAGCTGCAGCTCCTATCATAGCGTACAGCCCAGGAGTGACACAGGCTTCATGAGGGGAACAGAATAATTTAAAGAACCAAGAATCTTTGTATATACTATAGGGGGAGGGGCAGGAATAATAATTAATAATATAATAATAAGTAAAGGTAATAGTTAGGTTTTCTTACAAAGCAATTTGTTCCATTCCTATTCCAATTACTCTTCCAACACACGCCCCCACAAACATTGACGGGATAAATAAACCAGCTGGTACCTTTAAATTGAATTTTAAAATAAAATTTAAATTAAAATATTATAGAACCTTCATTCCGAATGTGAATATTGTCAGTATGGCCTTAGCAACCATCGCTAGGGAGAGGAGGAGCATTGCCTCGTATACTTTAGAGGTGGCCTCATTGTCGTGATACTCATCCAACAGGTTGTAAGTATAGGAGCGATTGTATTCACTGGAAATAGAAAAAAGACATGATGGTCTCTCTTTAAAATTTGATAAAAAATCCAAATTTGATTGGAATCAGCTCAAACTTTCTACACAACATAAGTACATGTATATGTATCAGAAAATGTAATGAAAATGAAGAATTCTCTTCTTTTCATTTTTGGCAAAATTTGGCCTGAGACCATGTACTATAGTACAGGGACTTTTAACTGATTTTGGAGTAACTTTAAAAATTCGTAAAAATCTAATTTTGATCAGAATCAGCTCAAACTTTTTACGCAACATAAGAACATGTATATGTATCAAAATAAGTTATAAAAATGGAGAATTCTTTTCATTTTTGGTGAAATTTGACCCATGACCCTGTACTACAAGCACACAAACATGTTATTAAGAATAGCTGGGTGACAAGAATACTTAACTAAAATACAAAATAATAATAATAATAATAATATTTTAATAATAACAATAGTTCACATATATAATACACAATACTTTATTAATGCCATTACCTGATGTATCGTTAGTACATATTACCCCAGCGTCATTGGAATGGGTACAGTTAGGAGTTGATCCAATTGGTAGTGGCCACAGGCAGTCAAGAAGACCGGGTGGGTCAAGATCACTGCCTAGGAGTGACGCTAGTGTAGTACAGTTTATCTCAGAACCCCAGATAGGACCAATACCAGCTGGAAACTGACCAGCAAGTGAGGGTACTTATCAAGAGATATAAACACAGGTTATAAATATATATTATAATAATCATGGTACATAAAACTGTATGTATAATCTCACTTAGTATACTTTAATTGATTTAGAAATTAACACAATTAACATGTACATGCATAAGCATATATACTGTACATGTATAATAGGACAATTGAAGCATCATTAAAACATCATTTGCTCTCTCTCTCTCTCTCACTCACTTCCTTTCTTATACCCCAGCTGATTACAGACTCTATTAGCGGACTTATCGTTCCATCCT